AGTCCAGTTCCTCGGCCACACCGAGGAGGGTAAAACAGTGACTGTAGTGACTAGCGGGGTTGGCAGTTCGTTGCCCCTTCCCGCCGCCTCCTACGGAAGCACGCCGTGTAGTGGAGTCCAGGCAGTCCGGGTAGGAGCCGGTGGCATTACAAAAAGACGCCGAGGGGACCATTCTGGGCTCGAGGCGCGCGTTGCGAAGGGAGATGCTGCCACGGATCTTTATAGTCGAGGATCGTAGAATGGAGATGAAAAAGATAAGCACATCCAAGAGAAACACTTTTAACAACAAAACAAACGCAACGAGATGCGCCATACAATGTCGTGAGGTTTTAGCCAACTGCGTACGATCATTGCCTATCTATAAACTGTTGAATTAAATACCGACCTAGAAGGCAGAAACTTGATAAGTAAATAACACATGAGCTTTTGGCCTTAGATGTGAGCGCACGTGTTTAGGGAGAAGAGGATGAGGAGTCGGTTATTGAAGCGGGGTCATTCAGGTCAAAAAGACTGATAAGCGTTAGTAAAACGGGGGCAACGAGCAGGACAGCTGTCGGCCATACGGGGAAGGGAGGGGGGCGTAAGAGGACGGGCAAGGGAATGGGTTTACGTCCCCTATCGGTCATTACCACGGCAAGGCGAAGTTGATCACGTGATCCAGCCACTTACAGAGTTCTGATTTCCTTCACAGCGGCTTTCGGAAGCCGCAGGAAACGCCCGGGCGTCACCTGAAGTACGATCTTAAATACAGCCTCTGGATTGACCGTGTAGTTGGTACCCAACAGATGCTTTGTGATTTATCTCTTATCTATCTTATTTTTCTCCCTAAGCAGCCACTTCGGTATATGCTCAGCTGACCGCGTTGTCAATTGCCTTTGCCTGCGCTCAATATATTTGAAACCGTAGCTACATGAGCGCCCGCATCTAAGACCAACAACTCATATTTTTATTTACCTAGCACGTTTCAGTCTTCTAGGTCGATGCTTTATTAGACAGTTTATTAATAGACAATGACTGTATGCAGTTGGATAGGGGGTCACGAAATTC